TTCTTTTGAACCCTTTTTTTTTCTGGGGAAAAAAAAAATTGTATTGTCTCCAAAAACTGGCATCTTCAAACAGCTGTTTCCACCCCAAAGCCCTCATAGCACAATCAGTATGTGAAAAGGGAAACAGATTTTGGAAAGCAGTCCTTGAACTCTGTGCTACAGCCAACTATTGCTGTGAAAAATAACCAGAAACAGCAAAGCTCACTGAACTCAGGTGTGTCAGAGGGTCCAGCAGAAATCTGAACCACTGAACGGATTAAACAGATATATTTTCCTTCCCCTCATAAGCCTAGCAGAATGTGTCTTCTTTTTCTRTGTTTACATGGCACCTGGTAGAGATTGAGGCTACTGTATGTTTCTGTAATAAATATTTACTTGCTCATTTGGAAGCAACCATGGGACATAAAACTGAAGGGTCACAATTGAGAAACAGTGAAGAAATGCTGCAAAACCTTTTTTTTTTTTTTTTTTTTTTTTTTTTTTTTTTTTTTTTTTTTTTTTAAAGTGGTACTTTTCTGTGCCTCTCAAAGACTCATCTCTAGAGCAAGAACAGACAGGCTATGAGAGTACTTTCTAAGAAGACTGCCTGGAATCTGCAGCACAAATAGAGAAAGGAAGCACTGGGGTCAGCTCTTCACTACTGGTGGCTTACTCAGTCCTGTTCATTCGCAAGTGGGCATTCTTTTCTTCAGCTAAGGTTTGCTGTGTCTTGGTATCAGCTGAGGAGATCTGTCTGCTTCCCTGTTCTGCCCCCTCCTCTGCACTAAAAAGGGATTCAGTGGTGGCAGAGCAACTTTGCACGTCACAAAGATTAAGTAGAAAATAACAAGATGATGTGTGGAAAGCTCAGAGGAGCCTGGGCTCCACTACAGAGTATTTCATACAAGATTAACACCAGGCAGAAGTCGCTCTACCTGAGGAAGAGAGCATCGCAGTCAGCTGGTCTGTGGTGTAGCACWACTGTTAATAAGCAGGAAATGATTTCTGAGTGAAATACGTGGGACTCGATCCCACAGGAATTATGTTCAAGGAGCTTACACAATTTTCAGTTGGCTGTGTGTCAATGGCTGAATTCCATACAAGACAGAAAATGTACTGACTGGTAAAAAATGGTGAAATAAATCAGATAATAGGTGTAAATCATGGTTTCTATCTTTTTTCTCACACAGTTCTATGTTTCAGCAGCATTTTAATGCAGCAGAACTTAGGGCCTCAGCTAGTCACGCTATAAACATAAGCCCTTTCAATTTTTAAAAACAGCTGCATCATTTTAACTGCAKCCACTTTCAACTCCTCCATGTAAAGCACTGCACACATCCAGTAGAATATCTAGTTATCATTTATGCTCCTTCAAGTAAGTTCAGTAACGTATTGGTGCAAATCATCTGTTAAAAGTGAGCACAGCTTTGGCAGAGGTCTATAYATAATGAAAAGGAAGGAAGTGGTTTGGTCACAGCTCTTTCCCCAAAGTGGATTTTTCCAGGAACATTGCAAACAAACCTTGATGACCATGCATGTGTTTCTCCAAACCGACAGGCCCTGGGAGGGCTCAAGCAGAGGGACGTCTTGTGTCCTTCCTGTCCCTCATCCATGCCTCGTGCGCAGCAGTGGGCAGCTGCAGCCTCCTGTCTGGATGTGCTGGGCAGCACGTTCCCTCATTGTCTGCCTGGCAAATATTCTCCCTTTTTGCGTGCWGCCTCAGGACCACCTCTGTCAGCCATTAATGAGCACCGTGGCTCATGCTCAGCCAAGCCAAATGGAGACTTTTGCCTGGTGCACAGGACGCTCCTGAAGATGAGTTTGACACCAAYGGGGCAAGGAGCTGAGACACAAAGGCTACAGCAAGTTACCAGTAGTCAGGTGGACATTTAGGTTTGAATTTTGGCTTACTTATTTTCACTTATTTTCAGTAACTTCTGCTGCAGTGCTGTCTGCTCCTGACCCTCTGCTTCACTGTTTGCACACAGAGACCTTGTTCTTAATATAAAATTTCTGGTTATCCAAAATAATAAAATTAAAATTTATTTAAACCTGGYGAGTATGGAATTGTCCTAGATTTATGCTATACCAGCAACTGATTWGTTTTCTCTCTCCCCCTCTACCTGAAATCTCAGGGAATGACAATCAGAGGACATGGCTTTTTCCACACAGAAGTCATGGACATCCATCCCAAATGCAGACAACTAATAAACACGGCTTTCAGCCTCTGGAAGCAACACACATAACACATTACAAAGGCCCAAACTTTTCCTTGTTATTTTAATTCTAAAACCAAGACAAATATGATTATATTGTTTGCCAATTAACCTTTTTTTTTTGGACACTGACAGCGGGACCAAGAGGATGAGAAGATAAAGCATCCTTACCTGAATTTCTGTGGAAGCTGAAACTCAACTCCCCTTAAACTGGTTCTATGTGCACACAGAGCTAACTGACAGACAAAAACCCCAAACCCACTATCACCACATTTGTTAGGCAAATCCTTGTTGGCAGAACTTGAAGTGGAATGATCTTGGAAATGGGGCAATCCTGGCAGTGACAAAGATGAACCTGACATCAGAACACCAGATACAAACCACCTTTGCACCATTTGTGTTAGTGGAACACAGTGTCCCACTTTCTGCTGACCTCCACAAGCTCTCCAGCTACCACTCAAGAGTTCCAGGCAGGCTGGAGCTTCAGCCTCCTGCCTTCCTCCTTTTCTCACCATCATCATGGCCAGTAGCAATGGACATTTCAGCATAGGTGCACTTGAAAAAAACCCTCTTGCCTGCTTCCTCATCTCATTCCTCTATCTTCTAAAGCTTTCTTTGGTCTTTCCTGATAAAGCTGAAGGGAGYTAGAAACTCAGTGATGTGCATTTCATTGGGAAAAAAAAGCAGTGAAAAGAAAGTGTGCAGGCAATCCAACAAAACATATATGGGGCTGAAGGAGACAGGCACATTCCTGGTGGGTAAAAATGAGCACTCAATGATTTCCAACCTGTTAAMAAAGCCACTTGGCTGGGGAGGAGACTGGAGCTGGACCTTCCACCCCACCTTTGCCTTTGGCACAGAAGCTGCCCTGGKGGGAAGAAATGCAGAAGGCAACAAGAGAGCTGCTGAGTATGCATCAAATACCTTCCTTKTTCCCTGTGAGATATGGCTGAGGAGGCATTTTACTTTCCAGTTTCCTTTCAAGATGAAGTATGGCTTGCTCTACCACTGCTTAGGCTGTACTTATTCCACAAATAAAGATTTTCTGTATTCCATGTGGCAACTTTTGCCCTGAAGTCTCTCTTTAAAATAAACCTCAGAAAGAGAGGCAATGTTCCTCCAGCAGGGGCAGAGATGAGAGCCTGGACAGCAGATACCCATCAGCGTTACACACTCAGTCTTGGTGTGAGAAACACTTTCTCCCAAATTTCACCTCCTAGCACGTGGGTGGGTGTGCTGCTGGCAGGGCAGCAGAGCTGTCCTGTCTCTCTGATTTYTTCCTTCCATTTGGTGGAGATGTGGAGGAGGCAGAGTTTGCTGCAAAGCTTTTCTGCTCCCTCTGYGCTCAGCACAAGAGCCACAGCCTCGGGAAAGCCTCTGCAGAAAGGTGCCACAAGAACACAGTCACCCAGCTCTTTTCTTTCTTTATTTTTTTATTGAAAGCTTCATCAAAGAAAACAGAAGTTTAAACCTAACATCCACTGATCTACAGAAAGCCCCAGGAGTGGGAAAATGGCAGCTATTTAGGATTGTGTTACAAATGGAAAACATAAAAAAAAAATCATAGCAGTACAGATCTTTCAGAGACATTCTGAGACATCAGCACACAGATGCCCATATAAATAAGATTCATAATTTAATGTATCACAGAGGTTCTGCATTCTACATTTTGGCTGCAGTGAAGTCAGTAAGGGCTTTAAAGAACCTCTGACCCATTTTTGTGATGCATGTTTTCTTGATAGGAAGTTCATCTGCTTTCAAAGCTGCTTTGATTTTTCTTAGAGATGGAATCTGTTCATTTTCCTTTAAGAAGGAAAACAATTAAAAATTCCTAAATGAATTCTGTACACTTCCTGGTTTTACATAAAATTGTTTTGCCTCAAAAAGATAGTAGAATTTTCTTCCACTCTGGAATACATCATATTTAATAATACTTCAATTACATAAACATCATGTTCTCTTCTTTAGGCTGTATTTTTGGGCTTTTAAAAATATAACTGACTGTAAATTTCACCAAATTCATAAAATTATTATCCAAGAGAAAGACACTTAAAGGCAGAAAATTAATGTTGGGCAGATACTCTCTTAAGGACAACAGATCCAGATCTTGAAGGTGCTTACACCTTGCAGGCTTTGTACCTACAAGGAAAAATGGATTTGTGAACCTGTCAAAGGCTGACATTTTCCACTTCATTACACATTTTTATTAAGGTGAAATAACTCAGCTATCACTGTTGGGGAATTAACAGTTGAACTGAACAACTTCAATAAACACAACTTTTTTTCTTATAGTGGAAATCTGAACCAGGACTGGGATTCAGTTCTTTTTACAGCTTTACTCTCATAATTTTCTGTTCAATCTTAACAAAGAGCATGTTAATAAAGGGGAGAAGAAAGGGTCTCTTCTGCCTGCTTTGAGGCACAAAGGTGAATAAATCTCTGGGGTACATACAGCGCTCTAGCCTATTTGGGTGACAGGAGCAATATARAAAAAGTTGGTGCTCTTTTTGAGAGGAAAATAACTCTCCTTACACTGCATCTTTGCTGCTTGCTGAGATTCCAGAAATCTGCTCCACGGAAGGGGAGGAGAAGTCTGCTGCTCACTCAGCCCTCCTTCTGAGAAAGTGTGCGTGCATGACTGCGTGTATGCCTATTAGAAATGAAAGGAATCCTTTTTACCAGAGTCAATTGTCATTAAACTGAAGAGACTAATGCACCAAATGTCAGCAGTTTTGTTGTTTTCTGTTTTGCATTTCCATCACACCGTGACTGTTTTCTTAGTTCACGTGGGCTACCGAGAAAGACCTTACCCTAGGGCACTTCTTTTATATCCKGACCAATTTCATGTTAAATAAAGTTTTGAAAGGAAATGTTGACCATGCGTGTATCAWACATTACTATCTTCAACTACCACATTTGGTCTCATCACTAAAAATGGATTGATTCATTACTTTAAGCACATTATCACTCTTTAGCATGACTCTCGCTATAGGTGGAGTTAAGTGAGTCTGCCTAAACCTGTTTTGCTCATGTCAACCTCAGCATTAAAATGAAGTGGCATGAGGAGCACCATCAAGCTTAAAATCRTGAAGCATGGCAATTTGTTAAACACTTAGGATCAGTCTCAATCTTCAGTACCATAAACAACATAATATAGATCCAAATACTATGACATATTAAAAATAAACTTTATTACAATGCAGGCTTCCTCAAATTTGCTGAGTTTTGGTACACATACATACATAAATAATACCCTTCATTTGATTTTTACTCGAGTAAAAATCCATTCGAATGCTACAGCCCAATTGCCCATTGAAAGTTTAAGCCCTCACTTCTCTCTAATGACCAGCCTTCATCTTCCACGTTTGGGCATGCATCCATAGCAGGGGATGATACAATGTGATGCAATTGCTCTCAAATATGCCTCATTCTGCATTACGGTGGATTTCTKGACCAACACAACCAAGGCAGTCTCTTGGTAAACAGAACTACACAAGAAAGCACAGGCTAAGGACATTTCAAGAGTCTATTTCACTGGAAGGCAATAAGAGGACATTCACAATTTGAGGCCTGACTGTCACAGGTGAAAAGTGCTTACAAAACCAGCAGTAGAGCCAGATAGGAAGAAGAGTCCCTCTGCAATCTCAGCAGGAGCAGTGAGATTTTTCAGTGCCCTGATCTACACTTGGGTCAGCACCTGCAATATAATACTCTCTTCAGTTCCACTTTTTTTTTCTTTTTTTTTTTCCCTCAATGTTAAGTGACAAGCCCAGGTATTCGGAATTTTCTAGCCATAATTCATAATTTTCTGACACCCCTTTTGTATTTATCTTTAAAGGTAAAAACAAAATTACCAAACCTGAACATCCAGATTGAATTATTTACAAGAATTCAGGTGTGATGGAAAGTACATACGCAGTTCAGTTCATGGATTTGATGTTACTTCTAGACCTCTGGGCCGGGCACCATTGCCTTAGACAACTAGAGTTTTTTTTCTGCAATCTTTCAGGAACTCTCCTGATATTTAAAGCTAAATTGGCAACACAGACAAAGATATTGACTTTACAAATTCAGATCTTNAAAAAAAAAAAAAAAAAAAAAGGAAAACAGAAACTAAACAGAGCATAATAATAAACCTTAAAAAAAATCATATTAGCCAGAACAGACATAAAGAAAACCAGTTCAAGATTTCAGAGGCCACCAAGTGACAACACCCAAGCAGCAAGTGTGTTGCTATTACACTGTTCATTTTWATCTCATTTTTGACTTTTAGAAATCAGTTACCACCTTCTGAGCATTTTGTACACTTCAAATAAGCTTTTTTTCTTACCTTATGATCTACAACTGTTTACACTCGAGGCTCACAGTGTTTATAATTCACAGATTTCAAGTACCAGCTCACTGGCTTTTTTGGGATCAGTAAGATGATGAAYTATATTTAAGGGGTCCATTTTCTTTCCTCTTCTTCATCCTCTACTTCTTTGCTTTGTTTGTTTCGATTTCAAATGCTATTTAACATTATAGCATGGAAAAAAAGGGAAAAATTCTAATACAGAATGCACTTGAAACACTTTAAAGTGACAGGCACTGTGATATCGTGTTGCCTGCCTGGCTTAATAAAAAACACTGAGATTGTTTAACTTTGCTGAAAAAAATACGAAAAATGTTTCTGAATGTATAAATAAAGCAGCAGAGTTCTGAATAGAAACAAGAAGGTACCTCAGCATATTCATCAGCCACATGGTAGCTACCTTGTAGCCTCATTGTTGATAGCAAATGAGACTTTGTGTGTCACATTAGAACTAACACAGAAACAAATGTCTTTATTTCATATTTAACTGACTTGTGCCTGGGGTTATCTCCATTTGTACAAATAATTCAGAGAGACAGAAAGAGATCATGTGTAGAAAGGAAGAAACTAAGGCTAGATTGATTTTTTTCCCCTCATAAGCCCTCTAAAGAAAGAGGGAACCTTTATCCAAGGACAAAATTCAAGTGCCCCTCTCAAAAAGCAACAAGTAATGAGACAGCATATGAAACAGAAAGAGAGGTTTGGGTTTTTTGCTGAATTGAAAACATGTTGTGGATGATCTTCTTTTACTTTGGCATCATCTGGTTTTCAGAAGTGTTGAGTATCAACAACTGCTCAGGAGGAAGCAGAAGTTCTGTCACTTCTGAAAAGCAGGCCCTCTTCCTATGGTGAAGAACCACGTGAACTCCCATTTCTCTCTTTTCTATGTTGCATATCTAGCAGCATTTACTTGGGAAACCCCCTCCCCCCTCCCACTACGTTAAAAAATACGATTTTGTTTTATCGATTTAAAAAAATAATTGTGTTCTTTTCCCCMAAAAAGTCAGGTTAGGGAAACACAGACTTCTTTTTAGGATTGGGCAGCTGAATCGGATTGATCCAATACATATGTTTTAATTTCACTGTTTTTAATGGATACCCTGTCTCTAATCCACCACAATAAATGTGATGAACCTTCCCCTCTCTTCTGGGTGGGGGAAAGTTTATAAATGTTTGGTTTAATTTTTACACGWAGATATGTGTGTATGTATGTATACACGGAAATGCTGCTTCACTTCTGCCTCCTTAAGGAAAAAAAAATCATCTTTTGACTTCCTTCTCACCTTTTTCATTTGTCTGTTTGGAAGAAGTAAGGGCCATAATCAAGAATGGAAAATAATTGTCATTCCTAAAACAGGTTTTGGTGGATTAAATTTAGGGGTTTTTTTCCGTTTGGTTTTTTTTCAGGTTTTTTTTTTGTTTTTTTTGCCTAATCATACTAATTAGTGATTGTCAGCCAACATATTAAGACAACAGAAATCATAGCAGAGAAGAATRATTTTTAACTTCCTGCCTTCATGACAATACTACATCGTTTTCAAAATTTCTGCTTGTATGGGAAAGCTAAAATGAGAACAAAGATCAAGTTTGCTTTCTCTTATATCTACCTGGCAACTCAAATGCAACACTGAGAAATAAATGCAGAATTAAGGTGGCTATGCATGCTGGACGATGACAAAGACTGAGGTGAAGAAATGAATCAGTATGTTGGAATTCAGAAGGAAGACTGTTGTTTCAGTAGAAATACCAAAGATCAGGTAATTAAAGTGAAAAACTAATCAAAATTAAAGCCCGCCTGGACAGATTAGTTGGCAACCCAATCCCCCTTGCTTTGGGATGTTCTCCAAAGCACAGCATCAGAAACCAGAACAGCTTCTAATACCAACTATTCTGAAATTTCCACTATAAACATATGCAGTATGTAAAACACCAGTGGAAGATAGTTTAAACAAACAAGAAAGTAAGAACTGGTCCGGCCATGTAGGTCAAATAAAGATAAAAAAAGAAAAAAAAAACCCTCTATCTTCTGGACTGCGTTAGGGTGTCACTTCATCTTTGGTATAAAATAGGCCATCCATAGGCTGCATTTGTTCACAACTAGGAAAGACTACAGAAATTGTCAACAATTTCTTCTATCTATTGCTTTTTTTGCACTTTTTTTGACCATAAGCTCCTATCTACTTAAGTTTTTTTTTTAATGCTCTTAAGCTAGGTTTTTGCAATGTGACAAGCAAAGCAGACTAAAAACTTCTTAAAGCTCATAAAAAAGACTGCAGATAAAAAGCACTAATGCTTTTGCTAGCGATCACGCTTCGTAAATAAAAAAATCTGCATTCTGCAAGAAAAAAACCCTGCATTCTCTATAATGCAGCAAGTTTTTTTCTCAATTCAATAACTTTACTGTAAAATGCTTTAGCCTTCTAGATTTTTTCTGTCAACACTTAAGACAAAGTTCATAAAAGTCCCAGCATTTTTCCAATCCTTTCAGTTGCCACAGTTCCTTTATCATCAACTTTTCTTCAAAAGAAGAAAATCATTTTCTTTTAAACTGTACAGTTTATTTTTTGTTCACCCCAAAAACTCAGTCTATTAAACTTCTGCACCAGCACCGGTGTGAGCAGTTTCAATTCATTCTCGGGTTTTCTAACAAGACGTTGACAGCTTGCCTTGAGAGCCTTTGACGTCCTTAAAATTAAGGCAATTAAGATTCAAGATAAACCTTACCTAAACATTTCTTTTAAAAAAAAACCAAAAAACAAAAACCAAAAAAACACTCTAGATTTAAAACAAGAAGAAAAAGAAAATGAGAGAAAAAGAGTAGCTTAATTTTTGAGGAAGACAATTGGTTTTCATCGCAACTTGCTCCCTCTTGACATCATCAGTTTTTCTGTTTAAAAAAAAAAAATCTAGCTACACCTCCAGGTAAATTCTGAATTCAAATGTTCGTCCAGATGAAATGTCAACCCAGCATTTTTCCTCTGGGTTTTTCCTTTAGTTGAAAAAAAAAAAATATAGCAAAAATAAAATTGTCAGACTACATGACGGAACCATTTGCACAGCACATAAAAACACTGTTTTGTTTTCGTTGGGAAAGGTAGAAAAAAAAAGCATTCATTTGACGCCTGTGCAAACTGGAAGCCAACTTCTTGTTCAGTGAAGTTTCTCCATTCAAGGCAAAGRTTTCAGACCGACATTCTTCAGTCCTGTTTATTGTCTGTAAAAACAATTGAATTAAAGTGGTCATTAAGTCAAAACAACTTTGAAATCGGCTCCTCTCCTSTTCTTCCACCCAACTCCCTTTAAAAGTTATCCAAGCTAAACTAACTTTGCAGCTGTTTAAATAYGATACCACCACTAAGCTGAAAATAGTCAGGCAAAAATAGGGAACTCCTACTTTGGAGAYATTAACACATCCTAAGCTGATGAATTTACCCTTTTAATGCTAGGCATTAATAGGCAGTCTGACTACACTGAAGTGAGATGAATACATGGCTTAACACCATGTAAATCTTTCACAAGTAATTCAATAAGAGGGTGAATATTTTCATAACAATATGTGCCACTATTTATCCTGGGTATTAATATTAAAATGTAGGATAAAATTACAATAAAAGGATACAACCAATTTGCTAAAAAGAACACATTTTCTGATGGCAAGAACAATTAGACTGTGGAGCAGTCTGTTTAATGAGCCAGTTAAGGCTAACTTAGTAGAAACTTTTAAAACAATATTAATTAAAGAAATGTATTCTTTTTCATGTAGTGTCATATGTTTTAAAATTTAGCACAGAGAATAAGCAAAATTATCGACCTTTTTCTTATAGAAGATGCCTCTCATTTTGTCCTTTTGATGTTTCATGCCAATAAGGATACATCACATTATCCTTATCTTAACCACACTGTATGAGATCTTTGGAGAGGCACAGAACCCACATATAAATGCTATTCCATGTCTAGGGTTATCCAGAAGGGTCAGCTTTTCCCACAGTCCTTAAAGCTTACATGTAAAAATCCATTTCTGACCAAAGTTCAACAGAAACAAATCCAGCASTTTTCCTTTTGCAAGCATTAATGCATTTGCCCTGCCTAGTTTAAAATAAATGTTAAAATCARGAGTTAAATTGTGAAGCACGTCAATGACCTGTAACTTGCCACAGAACTTTTAGTCTTTGAGTGTAAATATAAAACTACAATTTTAAATATTAAATTTGCCAAAGGGCTTTTTCATTGCATGACACCTGAAAATTATTACTTTGAATGTTATGAACAGATTCCTGTGGAATGCAACAGTTAACTATTTTCTATGCATAATTTCTGGTCGGAGTACTGAGGTTGGAAGCTCATCTTCCTGGGCAGATTTTATGCCCCTCTGGGTYGAGTGGCTGCCATATGTGTGAAAGTCCAATATCACCAAAGGGTCGCAGCACATGCTCTGTAACCTAACCTGGCACTGATTTTGCCTAAAAAAGGCTCCAGAAAAACATAATTCCTCACAGATTTATAATTGGAGTATGTTGTCTAACAGAGTTTTGCTAGGAGGGAGGAGATTGACAACTTTTTGAGGGAAGTATATGCATTGATGTCTGCTTCATAGTCTTCATGCATTTATGTGCAAAATTAAATATTTACAAGGAGAAAAGGGAGTAGATCCTAAAATAATCATAATAATTTCCTCATAAAGAAGATTCTTCTGCTCAGAATCAAGGGCTATTTCTATCTGCTCAACAGGTAGCCAGGTTTTTGCCATGAAGRTACCATTTCTGAACTCTATGGGTGGCATCCTCAAGTACTGAATTCAGCATATTAAATAAAAAAACACATATGCTGATTAAAAAATGGAACTTAGAATTTAAGTTATGTGGCTTATTTTTACTTACAAAGAGAGTACAGAGTTCTTATACCACCCAGTTCATTCTTAGCAAATTGCCTCTCCTTTGTTGCCTGCAATTTCATGATTGTTGCAAAGAAAATATAAGGAAATATGCCGTTATAAATTTTCTCCTGACTGAGCAGCTCCTATGAAATAATTTCATATAGTCTGCCTGTTCCTTTGCCTATATYTGACAAAATCATTGTCTAGTCATGTTAATTACTTTCTCGTATCTCACATTGACAATTGCTGCTGTATATCGGGCATGATGTTTGTTATTAATAAATGAGCCCTTTGAAAAGCAGAGTAACAAAATTATATCTTACTTATAAAACAATTTCACTTGGTTTTMTATAAAAGGTTACTGGAATATTTTGTCAGAAGTTATTTTTTTAAAGAAAGATTGTGTATATTTTTGTTTCTACAGCTTCCCACACTGCATTTCTGCCTGCAACTGGCAGATATAAATAGARGGCCCATTTCAGGAACAAAATACTGAAATAAGCATAATTAAAAAATCTGTARTGGATCTGCCTGTCTGATTAAAAAAGAAAGAAACTCCTCTGAATATAAATGCCAGTGACATTACAAGTGTATCCATCACTGCAAAAAGGCTGCAGCTGACAGGGAAGGATGAGGGATCTCATTCTCAGGGAATTCTCATGAGCAAGAAACACAGCCCCCATTTCAATAAAGAATTGCAATGGAGTTTCCTCCTGTGCTGGAAAAATGGCACAATCTGCAGATCACAGCTACCTCATCAGGACTTCTAGACATACATAAGTCCTTTTGCTTTGAGATACAAGAGAAAGGGAACTGAGGCACAGGAACGGTCAGATCCAAACACTACAGAGCATACTCATTAAAACAAGCCAAGACATGTATTTGTCTCTTTGTCCTGTATTATTCTATTAATATTTTGCAATCATTTATTTACAGGTGCTACGGAGACTGGTAGTTAGAAAGGATGAGCATACATAGTCAGTGTCTCCAACTGGGTAGCTTGTGATTGATTGTTTTTTAAATATGTACAYCCAGAGAGATACAAGCATGACAAAAGAAATAACGAGGTCTTCTGTTTTATGGTGGTCAAAAAACCACACATCTGAAAACATTTGATACTCATATGGTCGACAAAAAAAAWGTATCTTCCACTTACAGAGGTCAAAAATGAAGTAAAGCAATTGACAAATTGGTATAATTCTAATCTTTCCTATATCAGCTCATATCTGATGCCTCTGTATGTACCGAGTCGTGATGTATTGACTGACATATCTGTCATATTTCCTATCTGGCTATTTCTCTGCTTTCTTCCTCAAGATAAAACATGTGTAATTCTGTTTTCAAAGTGATGCTGGTGTTCAATATACATAYATTAATGAAGGACTGGATTTGAGCTCCTTCCTAGAATCTATCCAACATTTATCACTCCCAGTGAGTACCCCGTGACTAAGTAACCTTCCCTTTGAGAAGAGATTTATTGTAGCAAAGAGAAGATGTGTTTGAAGAGATTATTCTAAAGATGAAGTGACTCTTTGGGAGTTCTAAATACAGCTGTCGGTGTATAAATTTTGAGCTTTCCAAGGTATTCTGTGAGAAGTAAACAAAGGCAGCAGAAGAGTGGAAACAGATCGTGCAGTGCTTCTACCCACTTCTTCCTCACCCCTTCTTGCATTTCCAGGTCCTGCCTACTCTGTGCCTGCGTGGCACAATTTTGCACAACCACCAATACCAACTTGGGGTGATTTATACTGCTTCATTAACTACACTTTCAGTTAGAAGCCTTTCCAAGTGCCAACGTGTACTGTGCCAATATTTTCACCACTGCATAATCTGAGCCCTTTTTAACCTCTGATGCCAGATGCTGCTTTAGCCCAGCATGATGATTGTTAACRCAGTTGTTGAGATCCTTCTGAGTCCAGAAAAGCAGCAGACAGTTAGAGAGCATATCACTGTGGGCAGGAGCTCAAGGACATTTTGCCAAGTTGAGGCCATCAGCCAAAACCTTTTGCTAATTACACCGCAATATATCCAGAACTCTGAACTTAACGAAGCTATTCAGAATTGATATCACTGAAAGAGGGAGTCGAATTTGGCCTGCTAYAACCAAGAAGCAAAACCTTCTGGCTCCAAAGCCTCTGCCTACTTACTTAGACTGTTGGTAAGAATATGCAGGCGCATGTTCACTGGATGTTTCCACTGTCATCTGTTGCTGTTGGCCACTGGCTTCTTGTGATGAAGATGCTACTGTCTGTGGAGAAGTATCAGCAACAACACCCTGGGGAATCAAATGAGAACATTAAAAACTTACTAATTTTGCTCACTGCAATGAATTGCATAAAAGAGCCCAGCACCAGCTCACCACTCAAGCATTTCTCTAGAGATCGAGAGAGTTTGAGGTAGCAGAACCACATGCTAACACAACAAACTCCATCAGTTTTAGAGGGCTAATTCAGCAACAAGAAGCTTTCTCAGCCTACCAATAGTACTCTGCTCTCACAGGCTGCAGTGAAAAACACCTTCCCCTCTGAGGACAGTTCCCTGCCCATTCAAAGCTAGAGGCAAATCTTCCGATTTTGGTGGATTCTGGGTTTTACTTGGCTTTTTCACAACATATGTATGTCTCTTCTAATWTTTCCTTACCTACCACAACTTCACGGTGAGATCACATTTATTTCATTTGATTTAAAGAGCAATAAAGGCAGAATCTAGGCCCACCGCTCTCTACTTTACTACWTATCTAACAGAATTTTAGTCACCTTAAAAAGATGCTGCCCTCCTCTACACACTGTTTCTATGCATATTCTCTTCAAAATTAAACTTGCTCTACACTAAAGACTTTAATCTGGTAAGTCAAAGTTCCAATGAAATTTTGTTTTGTTTATATATTTGCAAAAAGCAGATAAGTAAACACACCAAAGRTTATATTCATGAATTTAATATTATGCACTATTTCTTATTCTATTTAGACAGTCTGAATAATACTTGGTTAAAGTTTTTTGCATGCTTTCAAAGTAAGCTACATTTTCTTTCCTCTTCTCTCATTCTTGGTGTGTTGGTCACATGAATAGCAATGCTCTTCAGGGAACATGCTTTATTACTCCATTGCACACAACAGAGCCAGAAGAGGGAGCACAAAGCACTTGCTTTGTTTTTATTTGAGTCCCTTGTAAACAACAGGTAGTTTATTTTAAAGCATCTGTTAAAATATCGGTTTCATTTTTCAGAAATTCTCCATATCTATTGCTTAGCAGAYTGCCAGTATTATCTTTTTTCTGTCTACTTCCTTGTCTTTATCCTTCTGCTTTTGTCCATCTCATCTTGAGATTGTAAGCTCTCTGGGGCAGAGACAGCATTTTTTTGGTCTCTGCTTGTGGAGCATCCAGCATGGTAGGGTCCTGGTTCATGATGCTACATGAATACAGATAGGCATTAACAATAATCATCATCACTGGATAAGAGCAAAACAGGCTACAGATTCAGATAATATTTTGATTATTAGAGTAGATAATTATGACATCAAGTTACTTTAGAAGGCATGAATACACTAGCAACTGATGGGAAGGAAGACTCAAAAAGTAATTTAAATTAACCTTAATTTTCATTTGTACAGGTCAGCGTGGCAGGCAGCCAACACCGTTGTGTGAACCAGTCTCCATCCCACCATCTCCCTTTAATTTAACTCAATTAATCTGTATCTGCCTGATTTATACTTAAAAATGACAATTGAAAAGAGGCACCCATAGTGCATTTGYAAACAAGTGAGGTTTAGGGCAAAATTATACCGAGGCAAAAAAGACTGAAACACAACCAGCTCAGTATGACAGAACAGTAGTAGCCTTTCCTTTCCTAGTGGGACTTTGTCTGGGAATAATTGCAAAGAACTAGGAGAAAAAAGGATAAGCCCACTTGACTGCTGGTGAAGCCACGTCAGCAGTACCACTAACTCACATCCTCAAAGCACAGAGTAGTAAAGCACAAAATCCAAAGTCCACACAGACAAAGACAGAAGTACAGAGACCCTGGCACTCCTTGCCTTACCCCAGAGCAGGGCAGAAGTTGTTAATAAAAGAGGGCAGTGCCAAAGAGAAACACACAGGGAAGAGGATGCCGAGGCTCCCTCCTCTCGCTGTGCTCAGCTGCCCTTATGAAGCTTCACAGAGGTGGAGGCCAAGCTGACGCTCTCCCAGCAGCTTGTGGTCTACAGGGTTGAGTAAATACTTACTCATTAGACTGTCATCAGCATGACTCAGCCCCAAGGAGGGAGGGAGCGAATCCTTCCTCAAGGATGAAAAGCACTCAGTCAGTGCAGCATCCTCCACGTCTGTATATACAAGAGGAAGGTTTCCATTGCTCAATCGCTTTTTCTGGTGGCTAAATGTTTCAGCAATTACCTATGCTTGCTAAGGACCGCATCAAACCCTCTTGCAATCTTCTCTTCTTGAAATCTCTTTTGGTTTCGTGGTCTGCCTGCTGGGTTTGTTTTCCTGTCTCTTCCCATCTCCCTCCCAAGTACATGGGGAAAAAAGAGTCAAAATCACTGATGTTTTATTCCATGTCCTGCTGTACAACAAAACAAATGCAAAACCAGAGCCCTTGCAAACAATTAAAAAAAAAATAAAAACAGGGGTTAGAAAAAAGACAGAAAAGGAAAGAAAGAAAACAAAAAGAGAAAGAAATGTGCAGTCCTAATTAAAAAAGCTGGAAGCTTCCAGCCACCACTTCATAAAGAAACTTTAGGCCCCTTTCAAACAACAGGTGCAAGAAGGCATAATAGATAAGAGTTCTGCTTCCCCTTCACTCTACTTTGATGGATGGAGATAAACTTACTTCAATAGGGACAGCTGTTGGAGGCACAGGAGTGTACTGGGGAATGTAGGTCCCTTGCATAGGTGCAGCAGCAGTCATGTACTAGAACAAATCAAAAGTAAATGAACTGTAGAAAACCACAATTAGGATGCTCAAAACCATGTTAGAAKCATGATACTATTTCAGTTTCCCCTTCAGAGTTTTTCAGTAAGTGTATAGCATATTATTTCTTTTTTTATTAAGGTTTTTAGGTACTGGCACAACTTACCCAGCTATTAAAAAATGTRATCTTGAACTTCAAACTCAGGTCATATCTGAATATAGGTAACAGTAAACATCTCGGTGGTAGCAGATAGTTCTCTAAAACTGAGACACTCCTATTTGTACTTACAAAAATCGCAGTGAAGACATGACAGCAGCATACACACACACACACACACACACACACACACACACACACACACACACACACACACATATGTGTGTGTGTAGTGGTTACAGATACAAATCAGTCTTCATAATCTTTTGGAATCTTATTGACCTTATCTAATGAGACCTACAAAATATGAAGCATGAAATTTGAGAGGTTTATTCCAGTCCATATTTAACCCCATCAACAGCAGCACCAGAGCACACAGGGATACAAAGCAGCAGATACATGCAATCTGAGACAGGAGAAATAAATGAAGAGGAAGATCTAATTATTATTATTATAGCAACAATTTGAATTAGSTTCTCTGAAATACTGTCTCTCCCAAGTATTACAAGAGAATCTTTAAAAATTCATGTGGGCATGTGAATTTTGTCATTGTTACAGCACTAAACTCTTTATATACAACACTTCTCAAAAAGCTCTTGAAYTGAATGCAACAGTCATTGTTCAGATTTTCAAATAAAGTATCAATATTAAGTCCTCAGATCTATATGTACTTTCTTTCTGCAATCCAGTCCTAACTACGTGTCTTCACTGACAAGAATCTCAGAATATGCCCAATCCCCCAACTGACTGTATGACACTTCCACTACATGTTATCTTCAAAGACACACCAAAGATCTGAATCAGCCCAGAATGCATTTGATGAATTTTAAAATGAGTTAAATATAGCTTTGCTTTCTGGCAGAGCTAGCAAGTACTTGCAAGATTTTATTCTGCTGTTTATAGTAAAATTTACATTTAAAGCACTCTCTCACCTCAATTCTAAACTAACTGGATGGTTTGATATGCCTGTCACAAACATGCATTATGAAACTGCAAAGTGGGGTGCAGACTGCAGCAATGCTGGAGAAAAGCCTTAGGGAATGACAACAGCATATGCAAGAATCCCACAGCTAAACCCTGAAGTATTCTTTCAAGTAGAAGAAAATAAAAAGTATTTAAGTGAAATTGTTTTCTACTAAAAAAAGTAAGTGAGGATCATATGTGACATAGAATATATACTTGCAATGAGAGCAGCATATGATATGGAGAACCATCACCGTATTTTTCCCCAAATTCMCATTTTTCCTTAACTTGAGCATAGACACAGGGGTGCCCCCAGTATCTGTGTGCCTGTATCAGGCCGTGCTTTTCTGCAGCTCTTTTTCCTGCCTCTTCAGAAAGAGAATTGAGTTCAATAGTGGTTTTTTATGAAGGCTAACCCACCAAAAGCATTAGGCCAACTCTCCCTATTGTACTCGGTACAGTTGGGCTGCTCTCCTGCCTTTCAGATTTTGAGCTAATGAGAACATTACAGCGGGGAGTTCCAGAGCTGCTTCTGCTCCCTTCATTCTGCCTTGTCATGTTGCCCTCACATGTTGGGAAGACATCTGTTGTGTTGCACTGCTCTAAATGTGTCAATATTTAACATCAACCCGAAGCACACRTTCTTAGGCTTCTGCAAGACCTGCAAGGGTTTAAAACCTCTGTGCAGTCTAGCTTCACGTGGACAAATATGTAATCGATTTTAATTAAAGGTGCTAATTTAAATAACAAAGTGGTCTCATTCAAYTTGAACTTCCTCTGATTTCTTCGTTGGACCTGGCAGAAGATCAACACATCTTATAAGATGCAGTTGTCTGCCATTTCCCTACCTTACACACAAACCCATATGAGTATTAGTATACAAATATCAAATTATTCAACTGCCTTACAATTCACACCCCTCAATTTTTTGCAAAATCCTTTGGCATTGTGTTCTGTAGCACATCATCTGAAACTCTCTGGGAATAAACTGATGTCTTCACTGACTCAAAAAGCACTTATCTCAGCAGCTGTGCAGTATTTTACTGTATTCCATTTTTTCCTCTTGAGGCAGATCCTGATCTTACTTTCCAGCCTACTTCTTGTGGCTGCCTTCACTGCTAGACAATCTTTGGGGAAAACTGCTGTTGACTTGAGTGTCACTGGTGGCCCTGGCCAAAGCCTGCTTGCCCTGATCTTTTCAGATACTCACATCTCCACATCTCCCACATCTCCCCACACGCTCCTGGTTTAATTTTTTTTTTTTTTTTGGCAGGAATTTTAACTGAATTCAGCCAAACAGCAATGATTTTAAGCACAGGAGACAAAAACCATACAGCTACTAGCCAGGCTGAAAGACAGTGACTTCTCCCATGTGTATAACATTCTGCTTGTCAAAATGTCTGCTCTAATGRTGGTTTAATTTTTTTGATAAATCCTTCAGAGTTCTACAATTAAAAAGAAAAATTCGTGGGCCGAATTAGTTCCACCAAGGGCAMAAATGACACTGTAGTACTTGCGGCAAAAAATTTGGTCCTGGGAAAATTTAGCTGAGGCTCAGTGCTACAGAGTAGTGGTGCTTAGCATGTGGCCCTGGATCACAGAGCAGCAACAGTGGTCAGTGTTACAGATATCYGCATTGTGCCTGTGGAATGTCCAAACATATTTATGGTCTCCACCTTTATGAATATAAAGATACCCTCACTATTTCAGGAAAGAGTTATTGGGTCATCAACTGAACATGTTACCAGGGCTTGGAACTGATTCTCATTCTCCAGGGTCTCACTTAAGGATTCATTGAGGCTTCTGCAAAAGTCTTTACCAACTTATAAAGGACAACTACAGCTTAGTTCTCAGAGACACATAATTGGTGTCTAGTATCTGAAGTTCCCTCACACGCAGCACAGGGACTCCCAGCTGAGACCACATGAATTCGGGAGTGTCTGCCCTGCTGGATCAGTTTCTACCATGGGAARCCAAGTGCTAAAATGCTGTTTCAGCTTAGTTTTTTTACTAACAGTGTAATGAAAAAGGAGACAGACTAATTTTTATTATAACTGACACCAGTTCAATCAAGTTTACGTGTATTTCTTTCCTTTGTGAACTACATAATCCTAATTCTCTGATCTCACAGGATGAATAAAGATTACATAGAGCTAAGGCACAATGTCAGTGTTGACACTTGTATCAATGGGTTTGGGTAATGCAAGAGTCKAATTCCTTGTCATGAATATTCACAGTTGGTTGTTTAGCAAAAGGCTTCCTGAGCACTGCTGCTCAGTCGCTTCCATACCCAGCACACAGAGAACCCACTGGGATTTGTGTTTCTCCCTGGGTCCCCCAGACACATTAYTTAGCTATTCCACAAAAAAACAAATGTGCTCTGGATGTGTTAAAGTAAGTAGAGTCCACACTGGGAAGTCAAAAACAACTTCAAAAATTACTCTAAGATTTAAAGAAAAGTTAAACATTTTATGTCTACTCAGTTTAAGACCACCCAGGATGAAAATCCTGGTCTAGGGACATCCCTGAGCTGAGAGACTCTGTTGCAATGAAGATCCATTTGGATCATAGTTCCTGTAAATGTACATACTTTGTTCCCATCTACCTCGAGAAACTCATGTAACTTGGAAGTAGGCAGATGGCAAAAAAAGACCTCTATGTCAGAAAACCATCACTAAGATTTATTTTTTTCCATTTTCTCCAGTATCTCCAACACTACAGTTCTTTAACCACACATATATGTGAGGCAGAGGCAGCTCTGCTCAGCAGCACCCAACCAAATCCACTAAATATTAGTATTAGGAGCACTGAAATGAGAGAATCTGAAAAATCCAAATGCATCCTTTCTTCCAGATGTTCCCATCAGGAATAAAGAATTCTCGAACCATAATATGATCGTCATTCAACAAGGTATGTGCGAGGCAGAAGAAAGCACCCTTCATTCTTCCACAACTGCATAGGCTTTGTGGGTCTAAAAGTAGAAGCTGCTTATTTCTGACAGTAAAATGAATAGTGACTCTACAGGCACAGAAGATGGATCTGGAGGTTATAAAGGAGCTTTTTTTGCACCCTGATCCTTTAAAAGCTGGTAATTTCTACTACAGAGAATKACTACATTGCTGGCGGCAACACTCTCTTAATTTGCTTGTAAGCTATTGTTTTCTTCATACAGAACAGAGAATGCAGGGTCTCMGCACTGAAGATGTGCACAATTATAATATAATTCATACTTTATGATGCCCAACTGCTTAATTCAGACTGCATTTATCAGGTATCAATTTAGCCTATAYGCTACATTAACAATCCTACTCATGYCTTTTCCAAWGGGGTTTGTGAGTTTTGCCATTTTGGAACTACTTCAATGTGAGACAAAATATACAGCTAGAAAATGAGAGTGTTAATGTGCACTTACACCCCTGTTTTCCTTTCAGATACTGCCCTCTGTGACTACCAAGAGTTAAATGCAAGGAGGTAATGAATGAGGAGGTGGGCTGAGGACACAAAATGAGATCCCTCAAGAAGGATCATATTTAATTCAGAGAGCAACGTCCCTTCTTAGAGATCTGCAAACAGCAGGRTGTCCCAGCCTGGCTCCAGCAAGAATGGTGCTAAGCCTGCAGCAAGCACTAAACCCATAAAGGTGACAGGCAGTGGGAAATAAAGAAGAGGAGGAAGGCAGCTGCCTGTACCCAGCAGAATGATGGAGCSTATCGCAGTAGGATAATAGGGTGTACCCATCAAAGCTGGAGCTGAGTCACCTGCAGGGAATTTTAGGAGCTTTTACACTGAATCTGAAATGGGCACAGGCAATGCCCATTTATTCATCTGCCCTAAAAAGCCCCCAGCTTGCCTTTCTCAGGCCTGGGTTAATGCAGAGTCA